AGTGCAGCGTTCGATACTGTCGACCATAATATCCTATTAGAGCGATTAGAACATGCTGTAGGTATTACAGGTACTGCACTGCAGTGGTTAAAATTAATGAGTGATTAGAGATTTGTAGGAATTGAGAATATTTGGCAAGTTTGTATACAGCGACTAGAAAACAGTAAAGATAAGGAGTGTGTGTGTGATTTCATTTGAATGATTCATTTCCTGTCTCGTCTTATGGATCAGTGTAGCTCACACCTCACGTTGTGTATCTTTTTAAGCTTATCAAAAATAAATAAAGTAAATCACACAAAAATGTTCAGAAAACAAAGGAAACCAAAACATCTTGAAACCCATCACTTCTGTAAATCTGTTCTTTCTAAATGCCACAGAAGCAGCCGAGGGTCATCACCAGTGTCAGCACTGTGGGCCTCAACACTGTCGCTGTGTCAAGGATCTAAATGGTCACCCTGTATGGCGCCTGTGATAAGAGAAATGCCACGAGGCTGCCTTTAATGAGACTACACTTCAATGGGACAGCAGCTAAAATGAAGGCCTTTCTACTCCCACTTGAAAGAGCATGGGACATGAGACTACAGCGTTACAAGCCTGCACCAGATGAAGCTGAAATGCTTATAGCCTCTCCAGAGCTCTCTGCCATTTATCTCCATGTCCCGCTTCATCTTTTCCCTCTGCTCCCTCTCGCTCTACGGCTCCTTGGTGCCCCGGTTCTTACTCTCTCTAATATGTCCATCCTAGCTCTTCTGTTAAGCATCAATATTTCTTTATATAGTCATCCTTTTCCATTTCCTCTTGTGCTGCTTCTTCTTCTTTTTAAAAGATAAAGAAACATCCACATTTTTAAAAAAGCTTAGCAGTAGGCAGCTTTTTATGAATAAGCACCGCATGCTGAGAATATCTCCTCTTGGCTTTTCTTTTTCTTTGTTTTTCTTTAAAAAAATGGCAATATTAAAAGTTAGAATGGCATAAAACGTCGTCTTCGTAGGACAGAACGCGGAAACAAAAACCCAGCGCTGCACACGCTCAAACAGGTGGCACTGCTGTCATTAAAGAGAGATATTTCTGGTCTGTAATCACAGTGACAGCCAGCACCTGCAGAGAGTGACAAACTGGGTCAGATGAAGAGAAGTGAACAAGAATGAGGTGCAACATTAGTTGGATTCACAGATGGCTTGGCATCAAACTTTGATAGGCGTGGGGGGGGAGTGGAGGGAAAAACAAGAACAGTTGTAGAGGGAGGCTGGATGAGGAGAGAGTAAGAGAGAGGCGGATGTAGGGACTGTGGGAGAGCGAGAGCTCACTGATAAAGGTACGATAACTTCAGCTGGAGAGTAGCTGAAGTGTCAGGAGAAGTTTAGACTGATTAGACGACGTCTCTGTGGGGCCCCAGCGTGATAATTTACTGTGCACATACTCTCTGTGATGCACACGCGAAGAAATGTGCTCCCAGTGGCTTTGTCTCCACTGAGTCTGTCTCCCTGTGTGTGAGAATCTCACCTCTTTCTATCAGATCTCATTACCACCCAAGCATACATGAAAGACTGCGGGGTTTGTGATACTGCAGGAAGATGACAAGAGGTGTGTTGCTGCTCTGCAACACCAAACAGCAGCTTGTTGAAAAAATGAGCAGCAAAACAATAAGATCAACATCAGAGTGTGTGTTTGTGATTGGTTTTGGTGTGTTAAAACCAGCGTATGCAAAATGTCAAGTGGACAAAGAATAAAACCTTGTATAGGTGTAGCTGTGATTAGTGATGTGAAACAGGAGTTGAAATACCGAGTACAGCCTTACTGCTTCTGTGGGAATTATACGTAGCAGTTAGCTGCTGCTAATCAAATGCACTTTATTAATGAATCATCAGCAGGTGTGAGCACCTCTGTAAAAACAGAACTTTGGAAAGTTTGCAGCTCTGGAGCATCCAACTGTGCGTTAACATAATGCCACAATCTACCCAGAAGTGGATGCTGCGACAAATTTACCCCAAACTCAGATAAACTGCAAATAAAAAATAACATAATAAATTATAAGCCTTGATCAGCATGTTAGATGTCAATCTTTACTACAGAACACGACTAGAAACAAACTTTATTTATATAGCAAATTTAAAAACCAGTGGTGCACCAAAGTGCTTAACATGCAAGAGGGTAAGATGAAGTAACAGGGAAGGATGAGGGCTATGGCAAGGTACCAAAACATGCTAGCAGGTTGAATGGCATTAAAACACACGAAGGCAAAAGAATTGCATATAAAAGCATAAAAGAAGGCTGAGTGTAGAAGATAAAACTTGCTAACTATCAAGCAAGCGTTAACTGGTAGAAAAGGCGGGGCTAAATAAGTGTTTTTAACTGCGATTTGAAGGAATGGATGAAATCAGACTCGCGTATATCAATGGGGAGGTTATTCCATAAATCGGGCAAACGCGCGGTCACCTCTAGTCTTCAGCCGAGATCTCGGCAGTACCAAGAGTGACTGGGAAGATGATCTTAATGCTCTAGTAGGGGTGTATGATCTAAGTAGCTCTATGAGGTAGCTTGGCGCTATATTGTTAATAATTCGGAAGGTAAGCAGCAGGATTTTGAATTGAATGCGATACTTAACGGGAAGCCAACGCAGATCAGCAAGGACAGGGGTGATAGAGACGCTGCCCACTACCAGTAAGGAGACGAGCAGCTATGGAGGAGAGGAGAGTTAAGACCGAAGTAAAGGGAGTTGCTGGTTTCAAAAGCTGTTTACCAGGAGAAAGCCTCGTTTCCTAGAAGAACACTGCAGCACAGCTACAGTTTGCAAAGTTGCATTTGAGCAAACTTATAAGACTTTGGAAACAATGTTTTTTTT